CACTCTGGTCTCTCTGCCCTGTCCCTGCCATCCTCCGCTGTCCCCTTGTTCGACCCTCCCCTGCCTTCTCCCTATCCCTATTCCCACCCCGCCATCTTCCCCTGTCCTGTCCTGTCCTGTCTCCTCCCTGCCCCCCCCATGCTGCCCTGTCCCCCCATCTTTTCCTGCCCCTCCAGTCCCCCCCATCCCGTCTCCATCCCCATCTCATTGGTGGCCTTTCCTGAGCGTGGGGGCAGCGGGGGTGCGGGTGGGGGACCCAGTGCTTCGAACGGGGAAGCCCCTCTCGGTGGAGCTGGGTCCTGGCATCCTGGGCTCCATCTTCGATGGGATCCAGCGTCCACTGCGGGACATCGCCCAGCTCACCTGCAGCATCTACATCCCACGGGGCACCAACGTCCCCGCGCTGCCCCGGCACCTCGCCTGGGACTTCACCCCCAGCAAGGATGTCCGGGTGCGTGTCACCACATGCCTCCTGGGGATGCGGGGACAGACACCCCTTCTCCCAGCACCCCTGGAGGGGACGCAGCCTGTCCCCATTGGGGTCCCGCATCCTCACGGCCACCCCCACCCTCCAGGTTGGGAGCCACGTCACCGGTGGTGACATCTACGGGACGGTGGCTGAGAACTCTCTCATCCAGCACAAGATCATGGTGCCACCCCGCAGCCGCGGCACCGTCACCTACATCGCACCCCCCGGGCACTACAGCGTCTCGGTAAGGGTGGGAGGCCGGTGATGGGCGGCGGGGTGGTGGGTGTCAGGGTCCCCTGTCCCCACTGCCCTGCCCGTCCCTCCTGTACCCCCCGCAGGACGTGGTGCTGGAGCTGGACTTCCAGGGCAGTGCAGAGAAGCTGACCATGCTGCAGGTCTGGCCGGTGAGACAGACCCGGCCTGTGGCCGAGAAGCTGCCGGCAAATCATCCGCTGCTGACAGGCCAGCGGGTGCTGGACGCCCTCTTCCCGTAGGGACTGGGACCGGGGTGGGGGGCAAGGGTGGGAGATGGGGACAGGGATGGGGATGGAGATAGGGCTGGAGATGGGGATTGGGGACAGGGATGGGGACAGGGATGGGGACAGGCTTGGGGGTGGGGAACAGGGACAGAGATGGGGCTGGGGACAGGGACAGGGCTGGGGACAGGGGACAGCAATGTGAGACAGGGATGGAAGTGGGGATAGGGCTGGAAATAGGAACAAGGGACAAGGATGGGGATGGGGGACAAGGATGGGGGATGGGGACAGGGATGGGGACATAGACAGGGTTGGGGCTGGGAACAGGGACAAGGGTGGGGACAGCCCTGCTGGGGAAAAAGGGGACAGTGGGAGGGCTGGTGGGTGACACTTGGGGGGGTCACAATCACTCCAGACAGTGCCCAGGAGAGATGGGGACAGGGACGGAGATGGGGGTCCCTCCCATCTCCATGGGGATGTAGCTGGGTGGTGTGGGGGGACTGTCCCCCCTCTGCAGCCGCCACTCTCAGCTGTCCCCACGTGTCCCCATCCCCAGGTGTGTGCAGGGTGGCACCACGGCCATCCCGGGCGCTTTTGGCTGCGGCAAGACTGTCATCTCTCAGTCCCTGTCCAAGTACTCCAACAGTGACATCATCGTCTACGTGGGCTGTGGCGAGCGGGGCAACGAGATGTCTGAGGTCCTGCGGGACTTCCCCGAGGTGGGGATGGGTGGCATGGTGATGGGGTGACGGTCAGCTGGGTGCTGCGGGGCTGGTGGCCGGGTGGTGACGGTGACGCTGTCCCCAGCTCACCATGGAGGTGGACGGGAGGACAGAGACCATCATGAAGCGCACGACGCTGGTGGCCAACACCTCCAACATGCCGGTGGCCGCCCGTGAAGCCTCCATCTACACCGGTGGGCTGGGGACCGCCGTGGTGGGGGGTGTGTGTGCAGCACATGTGAGTGTGTGTGGCATGTGTGAGTGTGCATGCATGCTGTGGGGCCACTTGTGCACCCAGCCATGTGCATGGATGGGTGCACAGAAAGGCAGCCATGAGCTTGCTGGAGCGCGCGCCAAGTGTGCAAGGGGTGCACACCGAGGGCGTGAAGGCTGTGCCAAGCGTGCGAGCCATGTGCCGCCGGCACAGGCATCACGCTCTCCGAGTACTTCCGCGACATGGGCCACCACGTCAGCATGATGGCCGACTCCACTTCCCGCTGGGCCGAGGCACTGCGCGAGATCTCGGGGCGCTTGGCCGAGATGCCGGCGGGTGAGCCCTGGTCTCGGGGTGGGAGGAACCCCTCGCCCCTCCGCTAGGTCATGGTGAGGGGCTCCGGCCCCCCTGGTGACGCCACGCTCCCCTCAGACAGCGGCTACCCTGCGTACCTGGGTGCCCGCCTGGCATCATTCTACGAGCGTGCGGGGCGAGCGCGTTGCCTGGGGTCCCCTGCCCGTGAGGGCAGCGTCAGCATCGTCGGCGCGTGAGTGGGGGGGGCTACGGCGAGGAGGGACGTGGCGTGGGGGACCCCCACTCTGGCCACCCTGCCAAGCCCCCTACCCGCTGTCCCCTGCAGCGTGTCCCCACCGGGAGGGGACTTCTCAGACCCCGTCACCTCGGCCACACTGGGCATCGTACAGGTGAGTGGGATGCACCAGGGACCCCCCATCCAGGCATGACCATCCCTGACAACCCCCACCCCGTGCCCTCCCAGGTTTTTTGGGGGCTGGACAAGAAGCTGGCACAGCGTAAGCACTTCCCCTCGGTCAACTGGCTGATCAGCTACAGCAGGTACCTGCGGGCGCTGGAGTCCCACTACGAGGGTCTGTACCCCGAGTTCCCCACCCTGCGCAGCCGGGCCAGGGAGATCCTGCAGGAGGAAGAGGAGCTGGCCGAGATTGTCCAGTTGGTCGGCAAGGTGGGATACGGGATGGGACAGGGGATAGGGGATGGAGGTGGGATGGATGATACGGGATGGAATTGTGGTAGGGACTGGGATAAGGATGGGATGGGGATATGGGATATGGGATGAGGATGGAGACACAATGGATGGGGATGGAGAAGCGGATGGGGATATGGGATGGTGATAGGAGGGGTTGGGGATGGGGATGAGGATGGAATGGGGGATGAGGAATGGGATCAGGGGTATGGGATGGGATTGGGGTGGGGATGGGGATATGGGCTATGGGATGAGGATGGGAATGGGGGATATGGGATTGGGATGGGATGGATGGGGATGGGGTCATGATGGGCCGGGGATGAGGACATAGGATATGGGGTGAGATGGGGATGGGAATGGGGACACCCCAGACCTGTCCCCCTGCAGGCGTCCCTCGCCGAGGCTGACAAGGTGACGCTGGAGGTGGCGAAGCTCCTCAAGGATGACTTCCTCCAGCAGAACGGCTACTCCTCCTACGACAGGTACGCCTACCGCCCCCGCAGCCCTCCGGCCCCCCTGGTCCCAGCCCTGATCCCCCCCGATGACACCCCCCCCAGGTTCTGCCCCTTCTACAAGACGGTGGGGATGCTGCACAACATGGTCACCTTCTACGAGCTGGCGCGGCACGCCGTGGAGGCCACTGTGCCGGGCGAGCGCCGCATCACCTGGGCCACCATCCGCGAGAGCCTGGGGGACATCCTCTACAAGCTGAGTGCCATGAAGTTCAAGGTGGGTGTCGGGGGGCTGTGACCCCCATTGGGGAGGTGCAGTGGGTGATGCCACCATGTCCCCAGGACCCGGTGAAGGACGGCGAAGCCAACATCACAGCTGCCTTCGCCCAGCTCAACGAGGAGATGCAGGCGGCTTTCCGCAACCTGGAGGACTGAGGCGGGGGCAGGAAAAGGGGGGGGTACGGGATGCGGGGGTCCCCCTGGGACTCCCCCCCCCGTCCAATAAAGGGGCCGAAGTGGCACTTGGCCTCCAGGCGTGGTTTCCCCATGGCGGGTGGAAGCGTCCGGTCCTCCTCCCTCCGCGGGTGCTGGCACCAGACCCTCGCCAGGCGGGCTCAGGGGGGTCCCTTTCCTGCTCCAGCCTGGAAAGGAGAGGAGAGGAAAGCCGGGGGGGTCTGGGGGGGCAGCATCTTCAGGGCCTGGGAGGATTTTGGGGGGTTGATGTGGTGGTTTTGGGATTCAGCAGCCCCCCCAGCAAGAAGCCCCCTTTCTCCATGCTGAGCCCCAGTGGATTTGATGCACGTGGCGGGGACCCCAGTGGAGCCGAACGGCCTGCAGTGGGGTGGCAGTGGGACATGGGAGTGACAGTGACCCCCCTGGGTGGGACATGGGGGTGACAAGGACACTCTGGATGTGACATAGGGGTGACAGTGACCCCCCCGGGCCATCCCTGAGCATCCTCCAGCCGTGGGGACAGTGGTGGGACATGGGCGTCACAGTGACCCCCCTGGGTGGGACATGGGCGTCACAGTGACCCCCCTCCCGGGCCAGAGCTGAGGTGACAACACGGGGTCTCGGGTGGGACACACACGCACACACACAGCCGGGTGCTGTGGGTGCATTTTGGGGCCACCAAGGCAAAGGAGCCACGTGGCTGG